TGTTCTTCATTTATTTTCAGGAAGAAGTAAATAATCCAATTATCATTGCAATCCGTTAAGACGGTCATTGCATTTGTCGGATGAAGTTTATCTATTAAGAATAATTCTCCCATGGCTTGAAAATCCTCCAATGTTTTCTTAGTTTCAATCCAAACGCAAGCTGTATCACTTGGTCCGACAGATATATCGGCACCACCTGTTATAATTGTGTTTGCACCTCGCAAATGTCGTTGAAAGTTTACTTGTTTGTGGACATCTTTCACGTGGAAATTCCTTGGTAGACTTAATACATTCTTAAACCATTTCTCGACAACTTGCATCTGTTGAACTTCCTCCTGCTATATATCCCATCTGAATGGTTCGCATGACACGGGTTCAAGTGGTAGAAAGTCTTCCACTGATAACTAGAATGGATAAATGATAAGTGATAAGAAACGCTCCAAACAATACAAAAGAAAGTATTTACCTTTGCAGTCTTTATTCCAATATCATCCATAATTTTTTTCATAATTGTATCGGAAAGCTTTGATACCGAAATTACATCAGGTTTTTGCAGGGAGAATTCTTCACGCACCGCACTTTTTACAATCTCGGTTAAGTTCTCTGTTGATTCTTCATATTTACGCTTTAACGTCACTTATAAAATGGAAAGCCAAAATTGGTCAACGTCGCAAAACAATATACCAAACAGTTCATCAAATATTAGCATTCCCACTGGACAATTTTTTACACTACTAAGTTTTTATCGCGACAATCCATATAATCAATGGAGTATTATTTGCTTATTACTTACCTTGATTTTCGCCAGAGATTTCTTTAGCCAATTCTGCAATTCTTGTAGCTGGTCCACCAGCAAGATTATAAGGTTTATTTAGCAGTTTCTCTTCGGACAAGAGCAAAAAATCTGAACCGGAGACCTCTTGATCCTTGATGAATTCAATGTGCTTATCATCGATGTCTAGCTCTTCTTTCTTCTCTTGTAAAAAATTTATAACATCGGCTCGCTTCCATTTCTTGATTTCTTCAACGCTTGGAGTAGTTGAAGTAACCTCTCTGACTTTTGTAGATAGGGCAATTTCAATGGACTCAACACCCTCCATAGAAACTATTTTGTCGATAAAAATGAGTTTGCTTCACAAAAAATATTCGTAATTCGTCCACTTTACCTGTAGACGGTTCCCTTAGGAAAGGCGATGATATTTCCTCGGGCTTTTCTATACCCTTTGAAGATGTGGCAACATTGATATTTTGAATGTTCTCCTTGGGAGATATTTTTTTGCCGAGTGAGTGGGATATCTACAATAATGCTCACAATTCATCCACTTACCTGTTGGAGATTTTTTCTTTTTTCTAAGTTTTGGCGACATCGTTGGGGATAAGTGTTACGGGGCACAGCATCATGTAGCTAAAAATCCATTTATTGGCTCAATTTCACGTGATGATCAACATAAATCAACCAATAAAATTAAAATTAAAAAACCCATTTCATTGGTTTGTTTAAATTTACATGAGTAAAAAATTTATTGAAAAGAACCAATTTTAATAATTTTTTATTATAAATAATAACTTTTAAAGCCTAATATTATAATAGTTAAATCAATACTTCTTAGAACTGTTCAAAAAACAAATATATTTGTAAAATTTTTTAGTAAAGAATAAAAACAATTCAATACTTTTAACTTTCAACAAATTCTATTAAAAATTTTGTAATAAATAATAAGATTAAATTGGAACTGAAAAAGAAATTTATCAAATTGTCAAAAATTTTTTCTTTAATTCTGTATTAATTCCAATTTGTTTTGATAAAATCTCAGCATTATCTAATTTATTATTATCATTCATCTGAAAATCTATCTGATTGTAAATATTTTCATTTATTTATAATCTTTGATTACTTCTCAATTGAATCCAATAATAGAATTAAACAAAATTCTATTAAAAAAATTTGAACGATTGAAACTGAATTAATTAGAAATGTTTACTTTAAGTCTAATTGTATTTGAATATTGATGTAATTGGACTTTGTCTAATACCTTTTTGAATAATGTAATTATTTATTATTTAATATACTTGTAAAAAAACATATCTTCTTTATATTTAATTTTTCATTTAAAAATACTAGTACAATATTTAAACATTATACTGATAACTGTTTTTATATTATACATTATTTATATTATTATTTATTTTTTAATTTAGATACAAATATTTTGTATATGCTAAAAATATAGAAGTTTTTTAATTTATAATTAAATGATATTATAGAAAGTATTTCACTTTTTTAATTATTTTAGAAATATATCTTAATAATAATAAATTTGCAATTTAAACTATAAAGTAATTTGATTAAATAAATTTGAAGTTAATTAAAATATTAGAATCAATTATAAGTCTATTAATTCAATAATATTTGAATTGAAATGAACAAAATCTAATAATCTAATAGTCCAAAAAGCCATCACTTATTGAATCAGAATGGTAATATAAAATTATGTAAATAATATAAGTCCAAAATTTGAAAATAAGTTTTATGATATCTATATTCACAGATTAATATCTAATCATTATTCTATAACAGATCTATATATTTTAATAGTCATATAGTTTACTAGTTACTGATTGGAGTTTTGAATAGTATTTAATAACAAAGTATTAAAGGAAAATTGTATTTTAATATCAGGAAAATAATAATAATCTTTTTTGATTTTTTTTTCTTCTTTTTTAAATTTAACTTTATCCATAAGTTATTGAAAAAATCCAAATGAAAAATTAGCCTATAATTTAACTAAATATCAAAATCTTTTTTTAAATAAAAATAATTATTTTTTAGTTCATAAGATTTTACAAATGAATTTTTACTCTAATAATAAAAATATCAGTAGATACTTTTATACTAATATATTAATATAATAAATTATAAAAATTTTTAATTAGGATATTCATCAAAATATTTAAATGTGTTTTCAAAATATTTAATTATTAAATATTAGATTATTTTTCAATAGTAAATGCCTAATAAAAATATTAGTATATTCTTATAATAATTATGCTTATGAAATTATTATATTGTATTTTATAATCAAAATATTATATCAATATATTTTTCAAAATGGTTTTTATAAAATAAATAAGTATAGATATTTAGAGTTGCTAGTATTAGATTATCTATTAAATCAAAAAAGGTAATATATGATGTATTTTTGAATATTCTAAGCTTTTTTATAATATATTTCTTTATTAGAGCTAATTTTTATGTGCTAAATATTTGAAAATAAAAATTATTTAAAGTTTAAAGCTCAAATTTGTTATATTATATTATAATTGTGATCCAACATATTTATTTTAATACTTATATTAATTAATATATACAAGAATTTGATATATATAAAATAATAATAATAATAAAATTAATTTTTAATAATGTATAATTTAATTAAATAAAATAAACTTGTAATAAATTTATCTAAATTATGTTTTTTATTATATAAATATTGTTTAATTTTATAATAAACTATATATAAAAAATGTACAATTTATATTAATCTAATATATATTATGTATGAAAATATATTATTGATCAATACTTATATATAATCAGCTACATATAAGTCACAAAAATAAGAATAACAAAAATGCTTTAAACTGTATGTATTATTATATATATTAATTAATAAATGGATAATAAAATTATTAATTGTAATAATCTTTAAAAATATAAATCTATAGAGAATGAAATATCTGAATATTATGATGCATATATTATTAAGTAGTATAGGAAAAATGCAAAAAAAGTAGCTAAAATTAATAAAGAATAAAACATATATCATAAAAATAATTACAAATAAAAATGGCTAAAATTGGTGATAGAAACTGATTAATAATATGAAAGATGTCTAAAAAATAGTTATTTATAAAAAAATCATTTGAGACAATAAGCTGCAGTAAACTAAAGACCATAATAAATTCAAACCAATATAAATTTGCAATATTAAAATTGGAATGGTAAAAATATATAAACATTTTCTGTTTCTAATTTCAGTAAATTTGATAAAAAAGTTGTTTAGAAATTTCATAATATACTAAAATATACTTTTTATCTCATATATAATGAGAGATGTTATCTATAGTAGTTATAATAATGAATATTACTATTATTATTATGGTGAGAAGAGTTTACCAAAAAAATTCCCATTAGAAAATAATATAGATTTAGATAAAATATTTGAATAACTTCAAGGATATACAGAAATTAAAGAGATACTATTATATGAGTTTTTCCTGTAATATTAGTTTACAAACTTTATGAAGGTTAGCATAAATACTATAGGATATAATAAACTTTTTCTAAGATATATAAGAATTATCTACTCATCTCTCTTAATATTAAATATAATTATTATATATCATTAATTAGCAAATAATTTAGAAGGGTTAAAAATTTGAAAGATTATTATGCTATAGTTGCTTATGCATTATTTTGGTTAAAAAAAATTATTATTAAGATATTATAATTAATAATGAAATTCTACAATTCTTGCCTGTTAATGATTTTATTAATGATCAACTTTAATATACTTAAAATAGTTACTAAAGATTTAGATTATGATAAGGATAATGATGTGATCATATGTAACTTTATCTTACATTTTTCTTTTAGTCATTATGAAGACATTACTATTCAACCACCTTTGATTATATGTAAAATAAAATAGTCTTATTAAATAACCATAAATTAATAATAATCATATTAATACATTTCAAATAAAAGCATATAACGTAAAGATTTCTAACTTTATATTATATTAGAAATGCAGATTATCTTGTAGAATATATTAAAAATATAAAGCTGCTAAATACTTTAGACATTTTCTTCTATATAAAGATAGGAGATTTATATATTATACTTATTAGTAGTACTTTACTTTAAATTTCAATTGTATTGTTAAGTATTGCAAAAAGGAAAAATATATATTAAATAAAATCTTATTAATTCTTAAATTAATATTAAAGATATCTAGAAAGAATTAATAAAGTAATAGCTATTATACTAATAGAATCATATAGTTTAATAAGAGTCTATGTGATTCTTGACAATTTTGAAATACACAGCATTAAGAACTATCTGATATGATTAAATAAATAGATTCATAAGGTTTAGTATTCCTTACATTCAGTATTACTAACTTGTATTTCATAATCTTATATCATCTAAAAAAATCTTATAATATGAGGAATTTTAACAGATTATTAATACAGATTTGAGTAACAATACTGTTAACATGCAATTTTAATAGATCACTACAGTTCAATAAGATGTTTGAGTGTTGTTTCTTTTTAATATACATAGTAATCTACTGATTTATTTCTAAATCCTGGATTTATAATCTGTATCACTCAAGCATATTAAAACTGTATTTCATTAAAACTTATATGTTATCACAAAGATTCATAATGGATATAGTTATTATGAAAGCTTAAAAGTTACTTTAAATCATAAAGGTTTATAATATTACTCAGATTTATAAAATCACACAGATATATAATGTTACTCAGACGAAGATGTAAAATATCACGCAGATATATAAATAATTAATAAAATAATTTATTGATAAATAATAAAAGAGGAAATAAGAAGTAAAGAAAATAAAGAAATAAAATAAATAAGGTAAAGAAAATAAGAAAAAAAGATTTTACTAAGACAAAAGAAAACACAACTATTTCAAAAAGAATTATTACATACAGCTGAGTTGAATTCTACCTTTCTATAAGTTCTAAAAACTACTGTATTTATATTTTTTCAATTACATACAGTCAGTGATGTACATTTTTGATGTTCCAAACATTTTGAGAATGTCTCACACTATGTCCCAAAATGTCTCACATTAAGTCCCAATGTCCTAGACCATGTCCCAAAAATGTCACATGATAACACTGCATACAGTATAATAATAAATTAAATATATTAAATAAGCAAATTATATTTATTATGCTAATTATGTCAATAATATCGATAATGTTATTAATGTCAGTAATGTCAACAATGTCAACAATATAATTAATGTCAAAATTAATAATATTACGTAAAATATATAAATCAATTTGTAGTCAATCTTACAAATTATTTTGTTGATCAATTTTGCAAATCTCTTTGTAGATCAATTTTGCAAAACACTTTGTAGATCTGTTTACAATACTAAGGCAGGGTTGGGAAGTACAGTATTAGTACAGTGATTAGTATAATTAGTATAGTTAGTATATTATAATAATTAATATAAAAATTAGTACAAGTACAGTACAAGTATAATGTTAATTTTATCTAGTACATACAAAATTCCTAACCTTTACTAAGGTAGTGCTCATATGCATAAAATAAAAAAAAAAGACAAAATGCATCTAATATAGAATGAAACTGAATAAAAGAAAATGAAATATGATGAATGAGAATAAAGATAGTTCCCATAATTATTTTTAAAATTTTTAACTAGTTGCAACTTAAATTGCAACACTTTGAGTACTTTGAGTTGCAACTATTTATGAATTTTTATATTAAAATAAATTTACAAGGAGTTGCAACTTCTTAATTATAATATCCATCTTTAAATGAAAAAGTATAATATCTTGATGTATTCATTACTATAATAAATCTAAGGCTTAATATACTTCTTTCTAACCAACATCTATATCAAAAATATAAAAATAAATAATATAATAATCAGCAAGATTATATTGATATTATCAATAAATTACAATAATTACAATGATACACACATTGCAAACCTTCATATTATCTTTTATACTAAAGATAACAAATAATTCTATAGATTCAGATATTTCAAGAAGAATATTAAATATATTTTTATATATAATAATTAGTTAAAACTTATAATAATAATAAATAATCTATTTATCAACATACATAGTTAGCTTTAATTGTAAGATTGGTAAACAAATGTTAATTTAAATCTAATTCTTAGTATTTATGCAATCTTGCAATATATTTTAAACTAAAATCTACTACTTTAAAGTGTTGTAAAATATGATGTTTCTGCTTAAGAAATTTGTTACCTTCTTTTTAATATTTTATTATACCATTCAAGTAGGATATTTAAATATTTAAATCTTAATAAGAAAATATCAAGATGAATTTGTGATATTGAAGAGTTTTTTACAATTGATTCTAGATGCATAGAATAATTATCTTTAAAAAGTTATTGGGACTGACCTATTAAATTTGAAGATTTAACATTATTTCATTTAATTTAATCTATAAATTTATTAAACATTATTGAAAAAAATACAATAAAAAAAATATAGTATTTTTCTTTATGCTTATTAGCTTTATATAAAGGTTTATAATAAAAAGAGTTTTGCTAAGTAAAGGTTATTTTCTAAATTTAGCATCAAGATCTTTAATAGTTAACAGAAAATGAATTATTATATAGTAAGTTTTGTATAACTGTCATATTAAAGAGATCAATTCTGTTCAATTGACATACTTGAACTACCTGTGATAATGAATTTAAAATTGTTAATAAAAAGATAAAATACTATTTAAAGAAGATATTATGAATAAATTTTAACTTAAATAGATGTTTTTAGTAAAAATAGATACAAATATATAATCATTGATTATTTCTTTGACCTATTATTATGAGATATAAATTAGAATCATGATTGAATTAATGATTCTAGGCAATTATACTTCAATATCAATCTTATAGAAATCAATATTTTTGTGAGAAAGATTTCTATTAATGGGTAAAATAAGGAATTAACTATAAATAATTAGAATTATGAGAAATTAAATGAAAAATAAAAGATTATTTATAAGTATATAAAGTTTTATTATAATGTTATGCTTGAAGACAGTTAAATTGAACAGTTAAGAATAATTGTAATAAGAACTGCAGAAATCAGAAAAACTTATTTATTAATATAAAAATAATTAAGATAAATTTTACAAGATGAAAGAAGTTAATTCAAGTTACTACTTATACATATATTAACAAGTATCACTACCTTTAACATTAATAAAATTATGATTTATTCAACACTTTCTATCCTTATAATTGCCAATAAGAATCTTAATATAAAATAGAATAGGCTACAAGATGTGATCTATATAGTAATTGATAAGAAAAATATGGTTTTTTACCAAATGTTTAGTTTAGTTAACATGAGACTTTAGTAAGCATTTTCTAAACATAGTAATATATCATTTAGTGATAGATTAATTATTCTATTTGATGATTATAACTAACATTCTTTTATACTTGATCTTCCTATATATGACATGCTAAACTTTTATGAAATCTATTATTTAATAATAGTCCTACAGCAGTAATGGGTTTTGGACATGTTTTTTAGTTTTGGACAAGGTTTTGGACATATGAAATTGTGTCCAAAACCTGTCTAAAACTACCTAAAATTGTCTAATTTCCCAACATTGTCCTACAGTATACTATCAGTTTCAAAAAATATATTATTTAACATTAATCTAAGAATACTAAGGAATAATAGGACTTTAGAGACCTTTTTCTAAGATTATATAATAAAGAATTTATATTAGCTGAATAAAAAGTACTTATAATACAATTCAAAGAGGTTAAATAAAATAAAGTATAACAGATTCTTCAATACTATGTTTATTTTAATTAAATAGTCTAATATTTTATATAATTAATGCAATCACTATAATTTTGATCAAGTTATAATTTTAACCAAAATTACGAATCACATAACTTATAATCGTCGTACTAAATTCCATTTTAGAATTTAACGTTATACAATTGTGGAATGGCTATCGCTAAAAATGGATATGATCTGCAAATTCACGTGATTATATTTTATATAATTTATAATTCCGGCCAAAATTATGATAATTTAAAAAGTATAAATATATATAATCACACCTCTATATAATCACCGATTTTGAGGTTTGACTGTATATTAATTAATAAAAAGTTAAAAGTTTGGCTCTCATCTAAGTTTCGCTAGAGCAAATATCACCAGAACATTTTTTACCCAAGTGTAAAGAAAAGAACGAACGACATAATAATGCGTAACATTAAATTAGTTTTTGAAAAAATATCGCGTCTTTTTTTTTATAACTTTAAATCGATTGACAACTATTGTTACATAATATAAAAAAGATCGACATTTGATTTTATCACTGATGCGCAATTCCTGACCCATCAATTATTCTCAATTTATTGGACTCTAAACTTCTAATCCTAAATCCCAATAAGTAATAGCGTAGTCTCTTTCACTGTCATTACAAAATAAGTCGCTTATCAAATCCTTCAAAATCCTTGGTTACAAAAATTTTTACATGCGGTAAAATCTTTAAAATCGCATTAAAAGTTAATCGATCGTAAAAATAGAAGAATTTTTTTTAATTATACAAATATTATATTGTAAAGATTTAACTTTTCATTTGGTAAAGAAATGGTTATAAATTAACGTTTAAGGAACAAGTACAAAATAAAACAAATAAAAGTTAATTGGAATGCATTTAGTTGATTTTGTACTACGAAATCACGTTACGAATCTTATCATATCGGATGATAAATTACTATACTTTGCATTAGCGTTAGCAGTATGACGCATGTAACACAATTTAATTCAAATTAGATTATTTCTATATTTTAATGATCCGAATCTCATAAAAAAATTTCAGATCTCAAATAAATTTTCGAACTCACTTCAGCTTAAATTTTATTATGATCATATAATACATATAAAAAAACGAAATTAAAACGAAAGACGAAAAATTAATCGACAATGGAATTTGATAAATAATTTTTTTTTTGCATAGAGAAGTTCTTATGTTTGCATAATTTAAATTAGGTAGAATATACGATAATAAAATACGAAAGGCAGAAATAAAAATTTTCGAATATTCATATTCAAACTTGTTGATATACGAACGATAAATAAAATACGAAGGTAGCAAATTAATGAAATAACGAAATAAATATTCAGATTCGAATTATTTGATCATAATTGAAGACGATATACGAAATACGATAACTAAACGAAATAAAAATATCTTGATTCACATTTTGGTCGAAATTGAAAACCGAAAAAAAATATTATTCAGATTTTGCCTAAATATAAACAGATTTTGTTCATTTTCTATTATAAATATTAAATTCTATATAAAATCTAGACCAGATTCAGTTAAAAAGACGAAAGAACCATTGATATAATAAACATTGAATGTGCTTTGATTATTACTGATGGGAGGATCACTTGGATAATTATCAGGTAAACAGTCAGGATTATCGATAGAATTATCATAATAATTAAGTTCATTACAAAAGTCAGAAGGATCTTGACAAATGTATGGTTCACTCTCATTGACTGTGTTTGAAAATTCAACGAAATCATGTAATATATGGTCCTCTAAACCATTATTAATATTTTCACGATTAATAACTTCATTACATGATCCATTCTCAATAGAATCAATATCGGTTGGGGGATTATCGTCCGTTTCAGAGGTTATAAATTCATCTGTATTTTGCGATTGGTCTCGAATTATATGATAATTTCTTTGGTATTTCAATTTCTCTTGCTCTGGTAGTACACGCCATCTTTTTGATACAAGCTTGCTGAATTCGGTCATCGTAATATTTGGATCTCTAGTATTCATCATTTCTGTACGAAACATCATGAACATATTCATTTTTTTCTTCTTCTTCTTTACTATTTTTCCTCCATCTGACTTTTTACTCAATTCCTTCCTTTTTGTCGCTTTTGATTTTGTTGATGATATTTGTTTTGTTTTTTTTGTCTCAGGCTTTTTTGTCACCGACTTTTGTGACGCTTGGTTATGATCGTATGGAAAAAATACAAATTCACTCATTCTATCTAAAAATGAAGGAAATGATTTTATTATAAAAAAAAATATAAATATAAATAGAGAGAGAGTTTTGAATCGTTAAAAATTAAAAAGAAAAATATGTTTTGAACAAGCAAGTGAAAAAGAGACACTTTTTATAACAAATATTTTATGTTATTTGGTCCCGATGAAAAGTCATCAGACTTTATATCGTATTCAATACAAATACAATACATTAGATCAAAAATTTAGCCAATGTTGTAGGATCCATTTTCCCATTTGTCCTCAATTAATAATGATTACTATATTGGGCCAATTATCTAAATGAATTTACTTCAAACCTGTCTTCGGGAATTTTTTTTTTCTATTTGATAGGGTAATTTGAAGACTACGGACATTCCCTCCATTGAATAAGCTTCAGAGAAGGATTCCCCGATCATAAACACAAACAATGAAAAATTTAATACGCCACAAAGCTTGGCTTGGCCATTACGATTCATATTGAGAAATCAATTATTATTTCCCTATTCAAATGTCATGTGGGTGGTACAAAAAGAATCTACAATACATAATAAATCGATTCAAATCAGATTATTATTTCATGTGATGTGATGGATGTATTTGGAGCTTTCATTAATTAAAAAAAAAATTTTTTATTGCATAGATAATTACAAATAATATTTATGATTTGTAATACGTGTGTAATTAAACATGTAATTCTTAGTAGCTTGTGATCGCAATAGGATGCTAAATTTTTAAATGGTTGAAAAAAAAAAAAGGAAAAAGGAAAAGGAAAAGGAAAATGCGAAAGGAGGTACAGCCACCTACTGCGTTATTAGTAATAAAATTTATCGGGGCGCGAGCATTTGATCAAATCTGCGTGCCTTAACTTCAACAAATCGTTGTTTCTCAACCTTCTTCTTTTGAAAAAACAATTCCAGTTGCACACATCTGTGTAATGTGTAACATGTGCAACATATGACGAATTTTTCATTATTAACAATGAATTCATTCCTAATAAGAGCAATAATAATGTGATCATCTAATAAAAACTCACACCTAGAATTTTTTTTTTTTTTATTGACCGACTTTTTTGTTTATACGAAATGGACTCAATTAAATATGTTGGCAACATTCCTTCGAGCAATAAAAATTTTTTAATGAAAATTAAGTGCTTAACCGCTTTTATTTAAATCATGTTTACTTTTATCATAGAAAGATGGAAATGACCGGTTGTTAACGTTTCTAAGATTTGTGGGCGAGAGAAGAAAATTCATGCCGTGTAATTTTAGTTCAGAAATTCCAGAAGGAAATACACTTTTGTTTAACTAACTACTATTGGGCAAAAAAACATCACCCTAATAATATAATCACGTATTTACATAAACACATGGACGTTCCTCATGTTCCTCATGGAATTCTTTCTCGTATATTGTATTTTTACCTTGATTTGTGAGGATTTTATTTTCCGAGGATGATAGTTTTATTTTATTCAAGAAATATTGTGTACATTTTTAATAATGAGATTTGTATTAGAAATTTTTTTTTTTTTTATATAAATTTCTTCATTTTCTTTTCATTTCTCGTTGTCAATTTCAACTTTGTTGTAAATCGATCGT